TGATAGCAGTGTGCGTACATTGAGGCATGCCAATCTGAAGGAGGATCGAGGGCTCCAAATGGAAGCCGATGAACTGGATTGGACCGCTTGGTTGGACATGGGCTTGTCGACAGGAGAGGAGTGACGCTCCGCGTTCACGTGTGAGTTGAAATTAGAAGGTAAATGCCTAGCAAAGCATGTTGGGGGAGGGCCAAGAATCGGGGGGTTGAAAACTGGGGGGATATAAGTGAAGTTGGAATGGGACGGTAAGAGTGAAAAAGCGTAAGTGGGGGAATAAGAAGACTGGAAGGCTTGAGCAGTAGCATCCAAACCCCTATCCACCCTGCTCGATGCAGCAGATAGGGCACCGTTTATTATCCTCTGCGGTGGCCAGAGCATCAAGAAATTGTTTGAAGGAAAATTGATGGTATTGCGTGGGCAGGATACTGTCAGGTTGCCCAGGCCTAGACAGGAGAACGATTAGGGTTCTCAACCAAAGCCTTTGGTTCAAAAACCTGACCGCAAGGCAGCGGGTTTGGCGTTGGGCTACAGGGAGTCCATTTTAAGGAATAAGGTGCCACCCTCATTCCAACCCCCAACCTGGAGGACCAGGAGGCTGAGTTTGTCTGGCCTCTAACCATTGACCAATCTGGTATGAGTGACTCTGAAGGTGCAAAAGCACCACCCAGCGTAGCTCAATGGATCGCTGAGGCACACAAACTGCGCTCGATTCGGACTACCACTGTTGTCCCACAGACCTCTGAATCGCACGGACGATTCGATTACCTCCACAGCTACAATCAATATTTGCCTCCATGAGATTTCGGATAATTGGGAATGCGAGGGACCTTGCTGTGTAGTAAAATTTTCCCTTTCTAACCTATCTATTTATCTTCCATGATCTTGTTATTCTTGGGACGTTTTGCGAAAGCAACTTGGTTCACCACTCCTCAGCGCACAAGCGTTAGTAGCTGAACTGGGAATTGTGAATGCTAGGACACCGTTGGAGCACCATATCCGCTTGGGTGCAGACAACCATGTAGCACGTGCGATGGATCCAACTGCACACACGACCAATTGCACTCTTATTCCTTCCGGAAACTCATGCATGAGAATGGGTCACTTTCCTTCAAAATCTATATCCTCAAGTCCTGAATGTTACTTTCGTTATTACTTTATGGTGGATGTAATCGGAGTCTACTATTAATGTATTTTTTATGCTACCTGTCCGCATTTAACATCCGCGTGACCTGAGTTCTGGTCTTACATGGACCAGCAGTGCGTATCACTTTAACCCCAAGCAATTCCTCGATTGAACTATTTGGAGGTCATCTTGAGGTCCTCGATGTGTGAATGGGTTGCGACGCGCAATCTCAATGTGAACCGCGATTCCCATTGAAGTGAACGGCCATTCGATCACTAGAGCCGTAGCGTGTGAAGCGAAAGAAACTCGGGTCTTGCACTCCATGACGCGTTTCCATGTCATTACATCACATCAGATAGAGATAGCAGCCATCGAACCCGAGATCATTGGGATGTTAGTCGTGACCGCTACCCGTAAGCCACCAGGTCAGGACGGGCAACGCTTGGCACAACGGTTAATGACAGATTGGAGGATCAATTTGAAGCACACGTTGTGCGGATGGATTGCGACGCGCAATGTCAATGTTGACCGCCATTCCCCTTGGAGTGAACGTTGATCTTCCGATCAGCAGGACCGTAGCTGATGCAAATAGAAATAGAGTGTTGCTCGCCCGAAAACACTGCACACCATTACGCGTCTCCATCCCTATTTGATCTCATCAGGTGGAGACATCAGGCCTCGATGAAATTAAACAACGTCCAAATTCGCCCTGACGCGTGCAGTGTTTGCAGCCGGACAACCCACCAACTTCCATGTGATTCAGCTACGGTTCACTTCATTACGATTAACCGTCCATCAACATGTATGTTGGAAAAATTATGCATGGTCAAAGATCGTGGCATTACCTAAGTTCGCCGAGCTCGGACAAATGTCCTGGCGCAAAATTGAAACATTAATCACTAAACTGCAAAAAAATGGTCGGAATCTCTCGCGAATGTGTGCGTGCCTGTTGTTAGTATGAGACGTTTTGGCTTGGCATGCCGCATGTTGGCGTCGTACACTTTAAGGCATGCTCTCATAGTCGACACACAAGTCGGATATGTCAAGTTTGGTGAGCTCCACTACCGAAGTATGCCTGCCGGAGACGGAATAGATGATGCATACTATAGAATGCCATAGGAAATTCCGAGCGCACAACGTGGGCTGTATGGCTTCGCGTGAGCACCAACACCGTATTTGTCCATTTTATTTGGTAGCTACGGGTCATTCTGTAGGTGTCGCATTTGCCACGTCTATTACGTGTGCTGTGAAGTTCTTCATACGGATTAATTCCGGCTTGCTGTACGTTGATGCCGTTGGGATTTGGGGTGATTTGGACTCCTTTGTGACGAAAAATGTTGGTTATTTCCTACACGATATCGTTGTGCCTCTTACAGCGAGCATCGCGGGTTACTACACAACACTGCTACATTGGAAAGTGATTTCGTTTTGTACGGAAGCGTCGCAGCACTGAGATTTTGTCGATAGCACTAGTGCTTGGGTTCTTCTTATGTGCAGTCTAGGGATAATTCGGGATTTCTTATCCACTTATGAGGTGCTGGCGTTCTAATTATCCCCTGATATCAAGGATCCGTCCAAAGACTTGTTTCCCAATGATTACGCTTTTCATGGCGAGGCGCTGGATAGTAGTTCCTGAAAGTTCCCATATTGTCCAGCTGGTAATTGATGACAGATGAAAGCTGGCGTACTAGGCTGTCCTTCTGAGGCAAAAGGATCATATTAGAAAATGCACGGAAACCCCTAGGCACATTGTCCTCAATTGATGTGTGAAATTAGCGAACACTGGTGTCCTTCAGGAGTCGTAAACCATTTTCTCATACTTCCGCTAACCAGGCTATCCATCGATTTGAGGGGCTGCCAGTGCACCACTGCACAACGAGAGGCAATGACGTGTGACGCGATAAATGAGGTGCGCTAGTCTGGCTTGATGTAAGATTGAGATGTTTTCTGTAGCTGTGACTTTGAGTTGGTCTAACGAGTTCAACGGGCGTTTATGCTTCCAATTCATAATGAACATTGCGAGTTGCCCGTATTTCCCCGGATACTTGATCTATGTGATCTGACATGTGCCCCAGAGGAGCTGCGCAGTGTTCAAAATAAACAATTTTTTTCCTTTGCTGTCGACGGTGATATTCAGTGCTATCGATTTGATGTGGTTTATTAACAAACCAAATGCTGTATATCCTTTTT